GGCCAGGCAGAGGTGAGCCCAGGGAGGCTGGCGCCACAGGTGCAGAGGGCAAGAGGGGGCAGAGCTGTGGCGCAGGAGTGAGCCTGCAGCCACCCTCCCTAGTGCCAGGCCTGCTGGGACTTCAGGCTGTTGGGACGTCCCCTAGGATCCTGCTTGGAGCCTTCCTGACCCACCCCCCCCACTCCAGTGCTTATGGTGGGCTCACCCTTTCCCCATACATCTCACCCTGTCCTCGCTGTACCCCACACACCAGGGTGTGTCCATCTGCCTGCCTGCCTGCCTGTCCCCACCACCCAGCCTGTGTGCCCAGGGGAAGGCTCAAGGCCAGTCACAAACCACCTCCCTGGCCGACCCAGCCCCAGCCCATGGTGCATTCCCTAGACAGCGTTGCTGAGTTCCCGATTTTAGCCACAATAGCGCCCATGCCCGCACCAACCAACCTGTCCTTGCCACGAATGTCAGCTCCTGCCCTCCTGACGGGAGCCCGTGGTGCACGCTATTATGACCTCAATCTAGAGGTGGGGACACCAAGGCACAGGGGCCTAAGGAAGTTGCCTGAGGCCACGTGGCTGGTAGGGGGCTCAAGGCACAGATGAAGAAACTGAGGCCGAGAGGTGTTTTGCCAGGGGGCTGATCTGATTTGCTGAGCCAGCCAGCTGATCTGGTGCTGTCTCTGTCTCAGTCAGCGGCCCCTCCTGCCCACCTACCTTGCCGTACCCTCGACCAGGGCCAGCAGTCTCAGAGGTAGAGCTGCCGAGGGGAGAAGCGCTTCCCCTCATGGCATCTGTCCTCCAAGAGGGACCCGAGTAAGAGGGAAAGCATCAGCAGCCTTGAAGGGACCTTATATCCCTGTCCACCCTTTGTTCTGTACCAGGGCACGGTATATCTGCACAGTCTGGAGCCAGGCGTGGCTGGCAGTCCCAGGAAACCGGAACCGGCCCTGCCCAGCCCGGAGCAGCCGCACCTCCTGCAGCAGCGGGCGAGGGGTCACTTGAGTGGAAGCACTGGCCTCCCAAGAGCAAGAACTTGTTCCCAGGAGGGCCTGTCCGGAGACCTGGGGTACAGGGAGTGGGAAGGCCAGACCAGGGGGCAGATCCTTACCACGGCAGGCTCTGCAGGCTTCCATTTGGTCTCTTTTGGGTATTATTCTCTTCTTTTTATATCCCTTAAAAAATATAAAAGCAGGCCACAGATAGGATTGGCCCTCTGGGTTACATAATAGCATCTGTGAGCATCATATGTGGCTTTTTTTTTTGGAGACAGGGTCTCACTTTGTCACCCAGGCTGGAGTGCAGTGGCATGATCACGGCTCACCACAGCCTCAACCCCCCAGGCTCAGATAATCCTCCCACCTCAGCCTCCTGAATAGCTGGGACTACAGGCGACTGCCACTACACCTGACTAATTTTTGTATTTTTTGTAGAGATGGGGTTTCACCGCGTTGCCCAGGCTGGTGTCGACCCCCTGGCCTCAGGCAATCTTCCTGCCTTAGCCTCCCAACGTACTAGGATTACAGGTGTGAGCTAGCTACCACGCCTGGCCCATATGTGGCTTTTTAATTAAATCTTTGAGAAATAACATTAGTAAAGTGCTCTAAAAGTGAAGAGCAGGATGTTAGCCCAGCCCCGGCCAAGATCTAGAACATTCCTGGCACCCCATTCACCATTCCGTGAGGAAACCGCCATCCCACCCTCTGTCACTAGCCTGCCTTTGCCAGCTCTGGAGCTGTCTGTGAATCGGCCATGCCTTGTGCGTTCCTCACATGGCTTCGGTTGCTCTTCAGGTCTGGGGCTCCCACGTTGCCGTGCAGCGGGAGCTCACCCCAGGCTGAGCCACTGCGGAGCATTCCAGCGTGCGATTCTGCCACCGTCTGTTTTCCCATCCTCCCACTGGCGGGCATTTGTCCAGTGTTTGACTTCTGCTATTGCAAGCTGTGTGGAACATTCTAGTATGTGCCTTTGGTGAATGTGCAGATGCATTTCTGCTGAGCACATACCTAGGAGTAGGACTGCAGGTTGCTAGAAGATATTGGCATGCAATTTTCCAAAGTGGCCCATACCCCAGAAGACCTTGTGACGGTGCCCAGAACAGATTTCAGCACAGATGTGGCATCATGCCTGTCTTCAGTGCTGCCTTTCCTAAAGCGTGGACACCCTGTGCTATCACAGAACACACAGAATGGCATGAACAGAGAGAGAGGCCTCTAAAGCCCCGAGACTGACATGAGCTGTTCTTGCCCAGGGTTCTGACTAAGCGGGAGAGGTGCGGGGAGGGGTGGGAGTGAGGGTGAAGGTGTGGGTGAGGGTGCGGGTGAGGGAGCAGGTTTGGGAGTGGGTGCAGGTGCTGATGGAGCTGTTGTGGGTGAGGGTGCTGGTGAGGGTGGGGGTGGGGATGCGGGTGGGGGTACAGGTGAGGGTGTGGGTGAGGATGTTAATGAGGGTTGGGGTGCTGGTGGGTTGCAGGTGCAGTCAAGAGTGCGGGTACAGATGGCAGTGTGGGTGAGGGTGGGGATGGGGGTGAAGGCGCAGGTGAGGGTTGGGGTGCAGGTGAAGATGTGGGTGCAGGTGGGGGGGTGGGTACAGATGCGGGTGGGGGTACTGGTGAGGGTGGGGGTGAAGGTCTGGGTAAGGGTGAAGTTTCAGGTGAGGGTGAGGTGCAGGTGGGACTGGGGTGTGGGAGGGTGAGGGTACAGATGGGGGTGCAGGTGAGTGTGGGGGTGTGTGGGGTTGAGTGTGCAGGTGTGGATGAGGGTAAGGGTGAGGGTGGGGGTGGGGTATGGGTGGGAGTTCGGGAGAGGGCGCCACACACTTGTCCCCTTGTTTGGTCCCCAAGGCTCTTAGTTTGGTGTGTGTTCATTCAGGAGCAATAGAGCAACACCCACTGGTTCTGGCATCTGTGGGTGCCTCTGCTTGGAGTGGGTGCTCTCAGCCACCCTTTGCTGGAAGGAGCAGGAAGGTCCAACAGTGGTGGAAGCTCTCCAAAGAACCAGGGCTGGGAGTAGAACTCGGTCAGATCCCAGCTCTGCCCTCCCCACTGTGTGACCTTCAGCCAGTCTCTTAACCTTTCTGAGCTGTTTCCTCACCTATTCAAGATGGGGGTGGCCATTTCTTCTTTGGAGGGTGTAAGGAAGCGAGGGACGTGAGGCCTGAGTGCTGTGCTCAGACAGCAGAAGGGGAAGTGGCCGCAACCCCGTATAAGCGGGTGGCCGAGCAAGTGGGGGCGCTGGAGGGGCTCAGGGGACAGGGTTCCCTTGGGACCTGGACAAGAGCCAAAAGGTGTACCCACCAGTCACAGAGGAGCCCATACTGCCCTCCCCTGCCAGGGGCTGCCCCGTGGCCCCGTCCAGGTCCACACCTCAGCGGTCCCCGAGTGTGGGTCCACGGCCTCAGCGGTCTTCGAGTGCGGGTCCACGGCCTCAGCGGTCCCCGAGTGCGGGTCCACGGCCTCAGCGGTCCCCGAGTGCGGGTCCACGGCCTCAGCAGTCCCCGAGTGCGGGTCCACGGCCTCAGCAGTCCCCGAGTGCAGGACGTAGCCTCCAGGCCACTGGGCTGAGAACCCTTAAAAGAAAAGGCACCGCTACCCATGACAGTCATTTTAGGGTAAAGAAAGCCCTTTGCAGAAAGCAAACGCTTTGAAAGGGACAACACAACTTTTAGATGTTGTGAGAAGCAATTTCAAGCACGTCCTCTTAGACCAGGGTGGCAGCTTCCAAGGCGGGGCGCACAGCTGGGAGGCTGCGGTTTCCCTGCTTCTCAGGGAGCTTGGGCCAGGCCATGGGGTGATCCGAGCAACACTTCCCTAGGCAGTGGTAGGTTTGCAGACGGGCCGGTCCCCACTTCCTGCCAAGCTCCAGCAGCCCCTCTGAGGATGCAAGGCTGTGGGGAGGGGTCTTCTGGCTCACAGCCCCTAGGATGAGGTACCACTTCCTCAAATGACTGTCAAGGTTCTGGGGTACTGGCTGTGCGTGGTGGCTCTCTCCTGTAATCTCAGCACTTTGGGAGTCACTTGAGGTCAGGAGTTCGAGACCAGCCTGGCCAACATGGTGAAACCCTCCCTGTCTCTACTAAAAAAATACAAAAGTAGTCTGTAATCCCAGCTACTCACGAGCTGAGGCAGGAGAATCGCTTGAATCCGGGAGGTGGAGGTTGCAGTGAGCCAAGATCTCACCGCAGCACTCCAGCCTGGACAAGGGTGACACTTGGTCTCAAAAAAAAAAAAAAAAAGGCTCTGGGATGTCCCCATTAACTCACCTGACCTCTTCCTGTGGCTGGGGCTCTCCTCTCCCACGCATGTCTACCCATAGCCCCCGCCTGCCTTCAGGACTCAGCCCACAGAGCCTTCCACAAAGTCCCCTGGCAGGGCCCAGAGGCTTCTGCACTGCCTCATGGAACCATTCCTATGTCCTCAGCATCAGTGAGACCTCGGGAGATGCCTGGGGAGTGGTTGAAGGTTTGGGGAGGTTCCTGCCCCCAGAATCCCAGCCAGAGGGCAGATTACCCAGCAACCCAGTGCCCCCTCTGTCGGGTGGATGAGGCCTCAAGGTAGGGCAGGCAGGAGCTCTGGGGCTCTCCCCCAGCAGTCCCCACAGTGCACATGCCCTGGGCTCCTCCCACTAGGCACTAGGCCAGGCCAGGGATGCAGGGTGAGCCCCCGGGGAGCCCAGAGCAGCATACACTCACGTCCCCACCATCGAAGGTGAGCTGCCTGTGCTGGGGACCCGAGGGCGCTGGGCCGCTGTCACTGCGCCACGAGGCTGAGCAAGCTCCCAATGGGAGACAGGTTTGGGAAGGTGTCCAGGTTGAGGGCACAGTCAGGAGGGGCCATGTGTGCCTGAGTAGGGGACAGGGAAGAGGGGGATGGCCAGTGGTCACGGGTATGGCTGCCTGGCAAGACCTGGAGGTTTCCTCAAGCTGAGGCCAGGCCTGTGCTAGATGCTAGGTGGGTGTATTTGTAGAGGGGTCAACATGGGGGCATGGACTAACCTCTGCCATCCTCTCCAGGCCCAGTGACGAGCACCATCCGGAAGTGAAGGCTGATGGGTATGTGGACAACCTCGCAGAGGCTGTGGACCTGCTGCTGCAGCACGTGGACAAGTGACCGGCCTCCTGGGAGAGCCCCACCTCCCCCACCCCTGCCTCTCCCCCACCCCTGCCCCTCCTCCACCCGCCCCAGTGCCCAGACCACCCAAGGCCCTGACAGCCCTGCCTTCTGTCCTGTGTGGGCAGGCATATGTTCCCTACCTGAGTGGCCTGCTCCCGCTTGGGCCCTGACTTCAGCTTCCTGTAGTGAAGTCCAGGAGAGGGAGACAGACCTGTCAGGCCTCTGGGAAGCTCCCAAATCCCGGAACTCACTCACTCACCATGCACCTGGTCCTTTAACTGCAGTAAACTCCACCTAACTGGACTCGGAGGCGCTCGCCCACTGCCGCCTCCTCAGATCTCTGCATTTAAGTGAGGAGCCTGGAATAAACCAGGGGCCTGCTGTGCACAGATCTTGCAGCGCAGAACCACGTCAGCCTCCCTGCGACTGCCCAAGCACACTACCCACCACCCCACCCCCGAAATAGCACCAGCCCGCCGCTTTCTGTCCCCACAGTCACCTTTGCAGACAGGGACCAGGGGCAGCTCCCGAGGGCACTGTGGGGGCTCCGGTGCTACACAGCAAGAGCTGCAGCCTGTGTCCGAGGCACACAGGGTACTTTCTGGAGCCACTGCTGGACGGACTTGAAGTTGTCATGCCCGGCATGTGCAGGAGGAAATTAACAGTTCAATAAACTCTGCCTTGACCAGCAGCCTCTGACTCAGGCTTTGACTGCTAGGAAGAACCGAATAGGGGAGGCCACCAACAGGGTCTGGGCCACTGTCCCTGTCCTGCCTTATGCTTGAGCCACTGAATATCAGAGGGGCAAGGGACAAGGGTCCTGACACACCTCGCCTGCTCCAACCCCTTCACTTAGCAGATGGGGAAACTGAGGCCCAGAGGGGCCAGTGAGCTGCCGTTGGCCCCATCTGGAACAAGGCAGTCCAGGGCAAACTTTGGCGCTGCCCTCCCTAACGGGGCAGCCTGCAGCCTGGTGGTGGGTGGTGATGAGCTTTGCTTTCCCAACCAAGGGCACAGCAGCCTTCCCACAGGGCTCCTGGGAGCAAGTTTCAGGTTTCAGAATCCGTCAGCTGAACAGATAACTCGATTGCTCCAATTCTCCCTAAATGAGTTCAGATGCTACTGCCAACCCTTGGGAGACCACTGCTTCTGAGCGAAGCCAGGGGTCCCTGTAACAGGATTTCCATTACATGAAGGCAGACAATGAGAAAGTGTGGGACCCGAGCGGGGACGAGGGCAGCTTTAGGAAGGCCGGCCACTGTTCAGTCAGAATCAGGGGAAACGGTGACTGAGTCTTTTCATCAAGATGAGAGGCCACCAGCCAGGCCAGTGTTACTTACTGGATCTGAGGGAGGGCCATTTGGCCCCTTCGTTGAGAACATGCGGATGGCTGGCCCCTCGATGGAGTCCCCAATTACAGCTCCTTAGGAGACCACACGGGACGTTCAGGTGGCGGCCGCAGTTCGGTGGTGGCCTGGAGGGGTTGTGCGTGCTGTTGGGTTCGTTTGTGGGTCTCTAGTTTTTTTCTCCTTTTATGTTTCATGGAGAAGCTTCCAACCAAGACAGCGACCCCTCTGGAGGAAGTTCAAGCTGAGGCCTCCTCTTTCTAGTTGCTGCCCAGGAGTGGGGTGCCCAGAGGGACAACCCCTGGGGGTGCAGACTCCTGCTCTGTCTGGGCAGAGAGCATGCCACCCTCTGGGCTGCGGTGGGCTCAGTGAAGCGGGTGCTGTCATTCTTCCCATTGCACAGGTCTAGAGCCTGGGGTGCAGTGAGCTAGGGACTTGCTGAAGGCCAACAGTGAGTGAGGCATGGGGCTGCGACTGGCAGGAAGGTCCGGCCCCGCCTCCCAGGCCCTTCTGAGCGCCTTCTGCAGTGCTGCTTCCCACGCTTGCCTGGAATCCTCCCTCGGGGTGTAGTGACCCCGTGGCTGACTTTCTGGCTGGGCCAGGACACCGGTGTCCTCACTCTAGAGATGGGCTCTTCTGAGGGGTGAGGTCCAGCCCCACCAGTGATGGTCTTGTAACCGCTAATCCTATTACCCTGTCTACAAAATACAGGGATTCACTTCCTTAGCAGGCACTTCCTGACTCCACAGGGTGCCCTGTCCCCTGGCTGGAGCTGATGTGGCGTGCCCTGATGCTTGCCGGGGGTCGGTGCTGCCCAGAACTGAGGGTCCTTCCAGCAGTCTGGCCATTTCCAGCATGTGGAGGGGGCCTGGGCCCTGGCAGAGGCAGCGTGGAGCCGCTGGCCGCACGTGGGGCTGCAGCTCGGGGCTGGCAGTGGGCTAAGGCCCTGTGTTCAGCACGTGTATGAACTGCTGTGAAAAGACACAACACCCAGGGCCACAGGCCAGGGGGGCTCCCAAGGGTCTTTCCCACCAAGGCCCCAAGTGAGCCACAGCCTGGGCCCAGCCGCACCTCCCAGGCTCCTGAGCTGCCAGGCCCAACCACCGAGAGTTGCAGCAGGGTGGGGGGCGGAGGGGCGGGCCGAAAGAGCAGCACCCCTTTCCTGGGCCTCACCCACCCTCGCCCCTTCCAGCTCTAGGGCCCACACAGTACCGAGCCCAGCTCAGTGTGCTGCTTACGAACACTCAAAGTGGCTCAGTCCAACGAGAGATCTGGCAGTGTCAGGACTTAAAAGCTCAGGCCTGGCTGGGCCTAGGATCCCAAGCGCCGTCACAGGAACCCCATCTCTTCCCATCGCAGCTACTTGGCAGGTGGCAGAATGGCCCCAACCCTCCAGACTTCCCCCTACCTGCTCAGCAACCCCAGGACTCAGGCTGGCAAAGAGACCAGGCGGACGAGGAACAGGGGTGCAGTCTCCATCCCAACCAAACCCCAACCACAGAAGACGGCATGTGGTGCCAGGTGGAGGAGTGAGGCCAGCGAATGCCACTTCCTCAAATGACTGTCAGGACTCGGTTGTGGGCCGGGCACAGTGGCTCTCTTCTGTAATCCCAGCACTTTGGGAGGCTGAGGCAGGCGGATCACTTGAGGTCAGGAGTTCGAGACCAGCCTGGTCAAACGGCAAAATCCTGTCTCTACTAAAAAAACACAAAAAAAGTTAGCCAGGCATGGTGGCGGGCGCCTGTAATCCCAGCTACTCACAAGCTGAGGCAGGAGAATCGCTTAAACCCAAGAGGCAGAGGTTGCAGTGAGCCAAGATTGCACCACTGCACTCCAGCCTGAGCAACAGAGCGACGCTTGGTCTTAAAAAAAAAAAAAAAAAAAAGGGGGCTCTGGGACGATGAGGGAATGTCCATGTCCTCATCTCGCTGACATGAGGCTGGGAACTGGGCCAAGTGAGGCAGAGGCCTCCACGTCAGATGTGAGCGCCCCTGGGCCAGCTGACTTCAGTTCTTTCCTCCTTCCGTTCAGCTTGAGCCCTCAGAAAGCCTGAGGCCTGACCTGGTGCCACCGTCCTGGGCCTGTCCTGCTGGGTGGTGGTTCCTGCCCCTCTCAGGGAGGCTGGCCAGCAGCTGGCAGCTGGCAAGGCTCCTGTATGTTCACTCAGGGCAGAGGTGGGGACAGGGTGGGACAGACGAATGTGGCACAGCTCTCGGGCAGGAGCTCTGGAGTCCGCCTCCCGACCCGGAGCAGTGCCGTTAGCCCCTGCTGCCCCTCAGAACTGTCCTGGTGTGGGCGGTGACCACACTGGGCAGCCTGCATTCAGTTCTGATTTTTGTTTTTTGGGTTTTTTTTTTTTTTAACATTATAAAAGCAGCATGTGTTATTACAGGATATTTACCAGAAAAGTCTACAGAAAGAAACCAAGAGTCACCCGGGAGCCTGAGCACTGTCTCTGTGGCATTTCCTCCCGCCTTCTTTCCTCCGGCCCTCTTCCTGCACACCGGACACAGTGGCCATCCAGGGCGGCCGCGGGGTTCACACTGATTTTCTCGTAAGCCCACAGGGTTATGATCGCCGTGCAGATAAGGAGACTCCGTGCGTGTCCCATGTCAGAAGCACCTGCGCCTGGCCTGGGCACTGCACTGGGGTGAGGCCAAGGGCCAGGCCCCACGGCAGGGCAGAATGGAGCTGCCATCCAGCCAGGGACCTCATCTGGGGATGGGGGGCGGCAAGGGGCTGACAAGGGCCAGAGGTTCTTCCAGGTGCCCTACCCTCAGATGGGGGCACTATGCTTGGTAGAAGCCCCCGCCGGCCTCTGCCCTGCTTCATCCATCAGATACAAGGCAGTGGTGAGGGTGGGCTGGGGAAGTCAATGCGTCCAGCCTCGGATCAGTGAGTCCCTGGGCCTTGGGTGCAGCAGGGCCATGGGGACAGCAGTGAGGATGAGGGGCTCACCTCTCCCAGCAGCCCTGCTTCCCCTGTTTCTTGAGTTCAGTTTCCATAAACCTTTTTTTTTTTTTTTAAAGGTTCTTGTTAAAAGAAAAAAAAAAAAAAAAAAGGGCAGGGAGATTCCCAGAGGGGCTGCCCTGGCCCTCACAAATTTTCTAGGCCAGGCTTCCACGGGCAGATCGTGTGGGCAAGTGTTGAGTTACAGAAACCAAACCTCTCCACGCCTGCCCTCCAGGCCACAAGCACCCCAACTCCCGAGTCGGGGAAAGCAGAGGGCCACACACGGGGACAGTGAGCCACACTGGGCTGGCTTCGTGCTTCTGGGGCCCCCGCAATTCATGCAGCAGAAATCCGCACTGTGCTGCCTGCTGCGGGCGCAGAAGCCTGGAGCTGGTGACCTTTGTGCGCCGCCTCCTCCGCTACCCCGGTGGGTGGGTGGTAGGGGCCATCCCAGGCCCCTCAGGGCTCTAGGCCAGGCTGGGCATGGCTCAGCACCCTGCAGTGCGGCCTTGCCTCCTGGCACTGGCGAAGGCTGAGCTGATGTGCCCAGAAGGGCAGACTCCTCCACTGCTCCTAAGTCAAATGACATAAGGAGTGTCTCCCCGCCGCTGTCCTGGGGGTCCCGGCTGGACCCGGAACAGCCCAGCCCTGGAAGGCTCCCATGACGCAGCTGCGGCCACGGTCAGCCTTTCACCTTCCCCGGCTGCTCCCACAGCGTCCTGCGCCTGAGCCTCTCCACAGCTCTGTGACGTCTGCTAGCCCCATTTTACCGATTCAGACCCCGAGGCTTGGAAGGGACAGAAGGGTCCAATCGTGTCCCTCCCAGCCCAGAGCTAACGCTCCTGCGGGAAGGGGGGGACCTGCCAGTTCACCACACCCAACAGAAACGACACAGCTGGCACCAGACACATGGGGACTGAACCAGGAAGCTTTATTTACACAGTAAAAGTAACAAGCAAATTCCTGAGAGACCAGAGCGGCTGGGGTGCAAGCCACGGCCCGTGCGGGGAGGCCAGGCCGAGGGGGCGGCGGGCCCTGGGCCCCGGTCTCTGCATTCTGCCCGCCACACTTCCTGAAGCTCTGCAACACCCACACCGTCCAGCTCGGGAAGCTCCTGCACCCCGAGACAGCCTCTGTGCTATCCATCGCCCGACCCCCCAGGACAGCTTCCCCACGCGTGAAAACACAAATCATTTGCCAAAAAGACTATGCTAGAAGGTCAGACTATCCTACCTAGGCTAAAAGATCTCCATTCAGTCTGCCATTAAAAAAAAAAAATCTTTCTCTTTTCTCTTTAAAGAGGCATGACAAAGGGGTTTGACCAACAGCGTGGACATGGCAAGGTGCGGCATCATTGCCCCGGTGTGCAGCCAGCCTGCTGCCTCCCCGCCGGCTGGCGTCTAGAGTGGCCGTGATTCAAGCAACCACCCCCGTAGCCACAGATGGCACATCAGTGGAAATGGGGGTGCAGCGGGCGTGACACCAAGGCGGAGCCCCCAGCAGAGGGCCAGGGGTTCCACAGCTGGGGAAGCTTGCTCAGACAGGCAGCACAGCTAGGGCATGGCCCCTCACGCCCCCGCGCCAGGAGACCCATTTGGAAGTTGGGGTTGGTTTTCTTTTTATTATGGACTTCCCCTTTAAATTTTCTTTCAGTGTACAAATTCACAAAACTGGCTACAAAAATCTGTTGAAAAGTAAGGCTTTCTGAGAATGAAAATCTGTCCGTCTGGTCAGAACAAGCTCCCTGTGAGCCCGAGGCCCAGGGCAGCTCCAGCCTCCACTGCAAGTAGGGCAAGAGGGTGTGGCCCCAGGCCCGGGCCCCACAGGTGAACGGCAGCCTCAGGCAGTTGGGGGGCTTTACAATGAGTGGGTTGCGTGTGGCACAAAGCCCCTCCTCCCACCCGGCTTTCCTGCAGGCTTAGTCCACTCTTCAGGGCCCCAAGAGCAGGGAGGTGGCCTGGCAAGGCTTGCTCCTGGCCCTGCCCTTCCTCAGTCTCCCCTCAGAGGCAGGGCTCGTGGGCAAAAGTGAGGCTTCTGCCACTGCCCCCGGCTGGGGTCATCATGCTGGTGGGGGTGAGCTATCTGCTGCCTGTGGGGACACCAACATGGGGGGCGGTCATCTCCTGGGCAAGCCTGTCTCCCAAAGCTCTGAGACCAGAAGCCCTGGGGCCAGCAGGATGGAGTGCAGGAACAGGCTGCTCCAGGCGGTATGGTGGCTTGGATGACGGGGTGGCAACTATAGATGGGATCTACGCTCTCCAGTCAAAAGGCAAATATGGAAGCAGCTGAAGGCCATTTCTTTCTCTAAGCAGAAGAGACAGCCGCCATTTTCTCCCCTGACTGCTTCGTGGTGGGCCTGGGCTAGGAGCTGTGGTGGGCACAGGACAGGCAGGTGGGGGGTCTGAGGAGGCTGGGTCATTTCTGCCTAAGTGCCCTGGGGCTGAGCTTGCTGGTGGATGGAACCAGCTTTGAGAGAGGCGGGGAGGCTGTGACTTGGTCAGCTCCATGGCTTGTCCCACCCTGCCACCAGGCCTGAGTGGGGAGGTGGCAGGCAGGGTTTGAGGGCAGGTCACCTACCCCCCAGCTCCACGACACACACTTAACACCCTGTGCCTCCCATCCCAGCCCTAAACAAAGGGAGCTGGGGGCTGCCGCACACCTCAGCCTCCACCGGTACCACCTGCCTCCCTTACTGCCTCTGCCTTCCACAGGAAAGCCTGCTTTAGAGGCGGTGTGTCCTCGGTGGCCACACAGGAGTGTGGTGCCAGGACCTCCTGTGCCCAGTGGTACTCTGGGGGCAAGGCATGGGATCATGCCCTCCACATTCACCCAACAACTGCCCGGCCTCCTCCACACTTGCTCTAAGAGGACACGGTCTCCATGATACACCTAGGCAGGGACAGGGCATGAGGTCTCTGCTCAGAGCCCCCAGCTTTGGGTTTGGCTGTCCGGGGTCACAAGTAGATGTGCCTCTGGCAGGAGTTACGGCCACTGGAGGCGAGCTGGTTCCCCCACTCTGGGACCTGCCCAGTGCCTGGCATACCCCACGTGCCACCCACCCTGAGCTGGCAACACCATCTCTCAGGGCGGCGGGGCTGGGGGCTTTCTGCCAGCTTCTTACAGCTGATTTTTAAGAAACGCCACCCACATATTGGAATTTGAACCACCACCCTTTTGATGTAGTTAAAAAAGAAGGCTTTAACAAAGTTTCCCAAAAAGCATCTTTCTCTTTAGGAGAAAGAGGGTGAGAACCACCTGGGCTCGACCTGCAGAAGCGAGGCATTCACTCGTCCATGGAAGACGAGCAAAAGCAAAGTGTCTACAAAAGTGCTTTTAACGCATGTCAGCCAACGCGAGGAGCGCGCCAGTTATTTTTAGCCTTATGGGAAAATGAGCCACTTGTTCCTAAGCCAGCCCGATTGCTATTGTCTGCGGAAGATGCCAAGTTCGCTAAAAGCCAGATTCCCATAGTGCAGAGCCCATGTGATGGTGTCTGCATGGCAGGGAGAGGAGCTACCCAAGAGCAAACCCTCAGGGGCCCAGGCTCCTTGGAGGCCCCCGGGTAGGGAGCCAGGGCGGGAGAGGGGTGGGGCGGGGAGTATGAATCCAGCTTTGTGCCCGTGGCTGGGCCTACGGCAGAGACACAGCCTTCAGAACTGGGCTCCCCCTAAGCTGACAAGGGTGTGGGCTTGTCTTGGGGTGGGTGGTACACCCTGGTTACAGCCAACAGTCCTCAAGAACAAATGGGAGGTGCTTGGAACCCTGCAGGGGCCCCCGCAGAATGGACAGCGGACGGCCCTCGCTCCTGACTGCACAGCTCCTGCGTCTGTGCACCCGCTCGCAGCTCCTGTCTCCCCAGGTCATTTTCAAGACATACCCCCTGGTATCGCGCCATCCCTACACTCACCGGAATCAACCACGTTGATCACTCAGTGACCAGCCAGCCACAGAGAAGGGCTGCCATCTGCTAACCTGCCTCAATGGCGGTGGAACCATGGGGCCCGGCTCTCCATGCTGCGGGAGGCACAGTGAGTCTGTCTTTTCAGCCAACAGATCCACCAAATTTCCACCCAGCGTGGAAGGCCCCTAACCAGCACCCTCCAAGCTGCTCCTTGGGCCTGAGACTCCGGACACAGGCTCACCGTCTGGAGGGCCGGTCCAGTACCCCAGGGATTCTGTCTCTCACACTTGGAATTAAGGCCAAATGGTTCTGGGGTTACAGAAAGAAGCATCTCCCGAACCTTCCCAAGCCTGAAGCAGGGAGCCCCGGGAGAGAAGGCACGGAATAGAACTGAGTGAAAGAAGCTGTGGGGCCAACTCCCCAAAAGCGAACCTGAGCGAGGCCACGAAGGGCCCTGATGCAGCAGATGGCCCCCGGCCCCCACCCCAGGCCCTCCCTGACCGCCCCCACCAGGGGGATCCAGAGCGGTGCCCAGCTCTGCCGGGAGCAACAGACTGCCCAACATCCCGCGAGGAAAAAGGCAGAAAATACCCAGACTCCGAAGCTGCTCCCTGGGCTGTGGCAGTTCCGAGGACCTGGTGGCTGCCACGCTCGGGGAGCCGGCGAGAAGCTAACACCCAGCTGTGTGGCGCGGCCAGGCCAGGCTCTCCCCCAGGCAGCGGGTGGGCTCCCTCTCTGGGACCCGACACCGCTCAGGAAGCTTTCATCAGGCCCAAGAGTTGGGCTCCCCTTCAAGGGCCCACCTAGTGCCCAGAGGGAGGGCTGTGGATTCCAGCACACCCAGCCCTACCTGGGCTCGCACCCCTCAGTTCTTCTCTATCTGCTCGATGTCCAGCTCGCCGTCCAGGGAGCAGAGGCTGTTCCCGGGGACCCCGCGGTCCCTCCAGGCTGTGGCCGGCTCCACTCTCCTCCCGCAATCCTCGTCCAGGGCGCAGCCGTCTGACTCCTCACAGGACAGGTCCTCCTGGCAGGCGAGGTGGTCGTCGAAGGAAGGGGGAAGAGGCTCAGGGACTGGGGTCCCAGCAGGGGTCCTGCCCCCTGGGCCGGAGGCTGAGAGCAGGGCGGTCCAGGCCCTGGTGGTGCTGACATGGCAGGCGAAGGGGTTCTGGGGGCTGCAGTCCTCCGTCCCTGTGCTCAGGCAGCTGAGGCTGCTGAAGGCCTGACAGTTCTGTGGAGGGGCAGACATACAAGTTACTAAGGGCCACTCCCCTCCTGGAGCCCCAGGACTGCACACCCCACAAAGCAACCACCAAAACCAGGCTGTGGTGAGACCACTCACGTCCCAGGCTCCCCCCATCCGGGCAAGGACAGGGGCCATCAGCAATGCACTCGTGAAGACACACCTCCGGCCCGTGCACGCACTGTGCTCATGAAGACAGGCACAGTTCCACTATTCACCTACTAACTCGGCAAAGCACACACGTGTGACGCAGGCCCAGCTCTGGGGAAGCTGAAATGGAATGCTCCGAACACCACACGCACAGCCCTTCTGAAGGGCAACCTGGGAAAAACGTATCCAATTCCTTGATCAGGTGATTTCACTACTCGGATTTTTATCTTAAGAAAACATTCTAAGATGCACGTAAAAGCTCAGCAGCTTACTGTCAGATGCAAATGAAGAGAGTAACCCACCCCACAACGGTGGCAAAATCAAGGGTGCTTTTCAGACGGGACCTCTGCAAACATATGAATGTGCTGACGCACTGCGACGCTCCCCATGAAAAGGGACCTGACTCGGAGGAGATGTGGTCAGGCTGTACTGCTACACGCAGGGTGACAATGCCCGCTCTACCCACCCTCCACAGCCCGAGAGGGAGACGTGGGTGGAAGGGGCGGAGCCGGTCCTGAACCCGGTGTGAAACAGAACCACGCGGGTAGCTGGTGGAAACGTGAGTTCTAGGCTCACCTGGAGACGCTGAGTCTCTAGAAAGGAGTGGCCCAGTGCCCTCCACAGGTGCTGGGAACTGGGGGGTCTGGTCTGCTGAGCAGGGACCAGGCTCCAGGTTCTGGTGCTTACCAGCTGGGGGCCTCTTCTATAAGAGATGCATGACGTCCTTGCCTGCCTTGCTGGGCCCTTTGGGCCCTTTGAGGCCCTAGAGGGAGAGTAGACTACACAAAAGCTTTTCTGCTCACCAAGTGCTCCGAGTGTGGGGGCTGGCCTGGGGCAGGAGGCGGCCTGGGGCCTGACCCAGCACGAACAAGAATTCAAGGATACGCAGGCCGGGTCTGTTTGGAGTCACCTGCCAGCAACGGGGGTAGGGCGCTGTGGTTCAAAGCCTGCTCCCAGGGCAAAGCACAAAACTCAGCCTTCTTCTCAGAATGATGCACATGCCACCATCCAGCCAGCCAGTCAAGACGGAGGCTGGGACAGTGAGGGGCACTCGCGGCCCAGCCCTGGATATCCCCAACAGGACAGCTGCATGGAGGTCACATCCCAGAGGAGAGCGCAGGGAGAGCTGCACATGAGGCGGGGGATTCCAGCCTTTGGTTTCTTCCCTGCAGAGGGTGGGGACCGGGAGAGCAAAGCGAAGCCCTGGAGCACCCCCCGCCTCCCTTGCCGCACGCTGGCCAAGGCCAAGACCACAGACCTGTCTCGAGGGCTTGAGCCTTTCAAAGGCTGCAGTGTTTGCGCGTCTCTTTGAAATACAGGTGACCACCGGCTGTCACAGCCAGCAAGCTGTCAGACCAGCCTCAGCAACCGGGAAATAAAAGGCGCTATCTCTGGAGGACGGTGTAGGTGCCTGCCGTGGGCACACGCATTGTTCCCAGACACTCCATGGAGGAAGCTGTTCTGATGGGTTTGCTTTTCTTGGAATCTTTTGATTAACTGAGAAAGCTGAAGGCTGAGGTGCTGGGAGGTGCTGTGTACAGGGACTGGGGAGATGGGCAGGGCACCCATGAGACTAGAGATGCTGGCCCAGGCCACTGGGGAGCCCCTTCCCTGCAGCTGCCCCCATGGAGCCACAGGCCCGCCCTCCGGGCCACGGTGGGATTCAGCGCAGCCGGGGGTGTGCACAGAGCACGCTCTCCCCACCATGGGAGAGGGTGGGAGACGGCGACCCCTGCACGACAGCCCCGGGATTGTTGCCTGCCCCCGACAGGGCTGGGAGACGGGCCAGCAGCTCCTGAGTGTGAGGTGGGGTTTTGAGGAAACGGTCTCTGAGGTGGCTCCTGCTTCTCAGCCACCCTCTTGACTGGCCTAGACCTGAGCCAGGACAGGAGAACTGAGCAGGGGGCACGAAACAGGGGCGAGATGGCCCAGTCTGGGTGGCCTCAGCCGTGTGTCCCAAGCTCTGCCCCGCCAGGCTGCCCTGATAGAGGAGGCTTAGGGAGAGGCCAGGAGAGGCCCAGGGAGCCAGGCCCACCTCTCCCGATGCTGGCTGAGCAGCCTGTTTCTCGGCCTGTACAGAAGCCATGGTGTGTAAGAATAAACAGTCACGTCCAGCCGAGGCCAGAGCAGCCGGATGATGTGCTGTGAACCGGTTCTAGGTGGGTGACTGAGTGGGAACTAAGGCCAACTGCCTTGGGTGCCAGCCACGTCTATTGAGACCAGTGTGCCTGACGCCCGAACACATGCCCGTGTTTTCTGCGAACTGTCATGTGAAGGGCTGTGTGTTTCTGTGGCCTCTCAGGTGGATGGAGTGGGAGCACAGCCTGCGCATTCAACTGTGCTTGCCTTCTCGGTCCTGCTCAGGGCTTCCCACTGGCCTCCTCCAGTATAAGGTGCAGGTGGTGAGGGGTGCCTATCTTGAGCCACCATGACTGTGTGGGTCTGGGCACTCATCATGGTGCTACGGTCTAAATTTGTGCCTCCTCCCCAATTCCTATGTTGAAAGCTAAGCCTCAGTACAAAAGTATGAAGAGGTGGGGCCTCTGGGAGGCAATGAAGTCATGGCAGGGGCCTTCATGCGTGGGACTAGGGCTCACAACAGTGACTGGAGGGGGCGCAGGCGCCTCTCCGACCAGGCAAGGGCATGAGAAAGTGCCAACTATGAAGATCGGGCCCTCACGAGACCCAAGGCTGCTGGCACCTGGATCGTGGACTTCCCAGTGTCTAGCTAAGAGAAATGCATTTCTGTGGTTTGTAGGTTTCCCCAGTCTAAGGTATCTTTGTCACAGCTGCCCAAAGTCAGCCACATTATGCATTAGCCACAGCCAGGCATGGGCGCTGGGGACCCATTAGCTGGAACTTTCACAGATGTGTGGCTTTTGCCTCACTGTGACCTGGAAGGGGCTGAGGTCAGACAGGCAATACAGGGGCAGACTCCACCCATGTGGGCATCACAACGCCAGGCAATTCTTCCACCTCTGGGCTGCGGCCAGCCAGCCAGCCTGCCTGCCAAGTCAGGGTGTTCAGGGCTATCTGGACTAATTGGGCCCTTTCTGCTGTGATGCAGGGGGAGTCTACGAGGAAGTGCTGGTGAATCTCGTCACAGGCAAACCAGGGAATGCCACCGGGCCCCCCATATTCTTCAAATATACCTGCTCCTTGGCTTCAAAGCCAGTGTCACCTTGAGAACGCTGCTGACTCAAAACTCAGCCATTTCAACCAGTGAGAGAAGGCCAAGAACCACCCACTGTTTGCCCCAGCTGGTGGCGGGCCTCACCTGAGGCCCTCCTAAGGAAGGAATGTGGCGGCCACAATGGGCGATGTGTGTTCTGCAAGCCCCATCCCTCGCGAGCCCTCCCCATGCAGACTCCCATGGCGTGCCACACCCAGGCCCTGTAGCTGCCCTGTGCCCTCCACGGCCCAGTGGCAAGGTCCTGCCCAGCATCTCCTAGCAGCTCCAGCCACCCCATGAAAGAACACTGCATGGCCAGTCGGAAGCCTGGCAGCCTGTGTGCCCTCAAAAACGTCTGCAAAATGGCTAAGTTCAACGTGCCACATGAACACATTATTCCAGGGTGAAAATGCTGCACTGGGACCAACTGTCCCCCAGCCCGCCAATTTCTGTTCTCTTGACATCCAGCCCTATCCCTGGACTGGGCCACCTACTCTGGCACAGCCCTGCCCAGGTGAAAAGCTCTGTGGGAACTGTCCATACGGCCTCAGGCCAGTGGCCAGGGACATGGATCAGGACCTACTCCTAGAGTCTGCAAAAGCTAGGCCACTGTAGCCTGCTGGAGAGGTAACTTTGGGATGGAGCCCCTGCCTTTCCCATCAGACCCCCTGGACCTCAGCTCTAGCCACGACAGAGACCCTGGCCATGCCCACTGGCCGCAAGTCGGATTTCCTGCTCAGCCTGCCCCAGCCGGCCTCCCCAGGGCTTCCCAGCTAGGAGCAACAGCCCCTCTTCTGCAGGGCTGTTCTGTGCCGATATTTATTCCTACACTTTCTCCTGAGTGGGAGGTCCCTGGCTGGGCACGGGAGTAAAGACAAAGGTGGCCTGGTCCTTGCCTTCTAGGTACAAGCTGAAATCCAGTCCCGCCTTAGGAAACACGCTGACTCAGCATGTTGGCTCTGTACTGCTGCCAGGCAGACTGCCACTCACCCTGTCCAGCCTCAGCCCAGCAAGCTCATTCCCTGCCCCATGTGCTGCTGCTCCTGGGCCTGCAGGGTGAAGATGTAGTAGAGACTCCAGAAACGTCTCCTGAGCTGAACTAAACCCCATGTTTTATCAGTAGTGACCTAGAACCCACTCTGGGCTGTGAAGGGCAAGGCCTGGGGAGTGGAGGGGAAACAGCTCCCGGATTTCTCTAGGGAGAGCTGCCAGGGGCGTAGGAGTCCCCAGAACTCATGAACTATATCCCCACACAAAGGAGTGGGCATCTGGTGACAGAGACTAAGCTGCTGGTCAGGTGACATATCTGGGAGCAGTGGCCACTCCCCTTTGTCCTGGTTGCCTTCTCCAAAGGAGGCCGGGTATTCTCACCCCTTGGGCTCTGGCTCTGTCCTGAACCTGGAGAGCTCCGGGGAGGAGCAAGGGGAACTAGATTCTGCAGTTGGAGACACTGAGCTCCTCTGCTGACCAAGTGGCCTCACTTCCTGTTTCCCCTCCTGGGAAGTGGAACTGCTGTCCCCGGCCAGGCTGCTTCACAGGGCCACTGCAAGGAACCCAAGAGGAAAGCCAGGCTGCTGGTGCCCCACCTGGGGTCCTAAACCCTGGGCAGCACACACTCTCCACTGCTGCGAGCACTGGCTCTGACAGTTCATGGCTGCCCCTTCCA